ATTCTCTGTACAGGAAATAGAGGGACGCGGATCGACTAATGCTCCCAAGTTGATGCAATGTATTCCACCAATTACATTTTTTAATAAAAATGTCATTAATAAAAAAGTATAAGAATTAAGTCATTAACTACAAGTTCGGGCTACTTTTTTTTTTTTTGAAAGGAAGTCCACCCTACTTTATTTATCTATAATATTTTTTTAAAAATTTTCCATTTAAAAATCTATATACAATACACCGTTGTTCTTGGGTAAAGAAACTTCTACTTCGTATGAAACTTAATAAGCTTCCTTGACCGATATTAATCCTTTTATGGATGCAAAAATATGGAATCCATGTAAAAGTCATACAAACAATGAATTGTTTTTTGATTTTTTTTAATATGACTAAAACAAGGATAAATTTAATAAATAGGACTTTCAAAATATAACTCATTCGCTCATAATTTGGCAGGTTTTAATCAAGTTATTCTTTGAATAGGACCAAATAAAGCTCATTTGGAAAATAAAACATATTTAGCCCTATTTTTGAACTTTTGATCTGTGTAATTTCTATTGCTTTTGTCACAAAGTGAAAATGTTGCACCTTTGGGGACAATTAGCCAGTTTTGAAGAACTTTTGGCCTTTTAGATCCCATTAGGAACAAATTTAATAATGCGAAGGATGCAGTGAGAATGCAATTCAAGAAATTTCAATGACAAGAAATATTATAATAATAATATACAGAGTAACTTAATACGTAAAGAGAAGGTTTAATTTTGAGGACCTTATTAGTGTCGATGTGTGATGAAACTGGATCAACTAGAAACTCCTTACTCTTCTCTGGATTCAACTCTATCTCGGCATCAGCTGCTGGAAAAGCACCCTCAGAATTGGCCATTTTGAGAGGGGGAATTGAAGAAAATATTGATTTCTGATTTGAAGAATCAATTAAACACAAATAAGTTTTTTACAAATATTGATTTCTGATCGTTCCAATTGTTCTCTTTTTAATTACGCCTTCTGATCGAGAAAGCAAATTGATCAAAAGACAATAATTAGGAAAGAGGTTAATGTTTCAGAGACATTGTACGGCACATATTAATCATTCATGCATTCCCAACTGCTTCCTATTTTTTTTCTCGATTTTGTTAGCTTCAACTGCCCGACAAATTTGTTGTGCCAATTAACGTTGGTTGCAGTGTTTTCCTTTTGATAATTAGTTACAGAAAATATATACTACTGAAATGAGTAAGTACACTTTTGAGCAGTCAGCTAGAATTGCTTGTGAGATTAAAGGCAAATGTAAATTTGACTATTTTTTATAAAATTAAATGTGTGTGATTTTCTGGGTGATCAATTCAAATGTACAGAATTAAATAAGAATAAGCAAGATCAAAGTATATATAGTTTGTATTGATGAAGAACTTTTACAATGTATTCAAGAACCACCACAGAAACTATTATTTTGAGTTTGATGATGTGTCATCCTCTTATTTGTTGATCCATCCTATCCCCATACTTGACCGAATTCATGCATTGTTATGTACCTGACTAATTCACAGTGATTTCAAGAAGTAAAAGATGAAGAAGGAAGATGTGCGTAACAATGGAAGCCGTCGTTTAACAGAAAATGTAGAGAAAGAATTACAAAGGCAGTTAAAGAGTGCCTACTCTCCAAAGTCCCAGTCTCCCAGACCCAATTAACAATTCCAACCTCCTTCTATTCTACCATCCACCTCTATTTATACTAACTATTCTAATATTATTATTACTCTTATTATTATTAGTGCTATTCTGCCGGAGTCCTATCATATCTCCCCCCTTGAACATCCACCTTGTCCTCAGGGTGGGTGATAGGACACAGCCTTGATCTTGAACTTCATCTTCATCCTGGAGCCTCTTCCTTCCCAGTACCTCCCGGATTTCTGAACCATAAGTTTCTGTACTTTCACCTTCCACCTCATAAACGTTTCTGCAGCCGAAGAGAATTCTAGTGCAGTTTTAGTCTCTTCAGTGGCTATCAAGCACTCAATAACGGCAAATGTTTCTTTGTTCTGTGCTTCTCCCTTTGCAGCAGTCATCTGTTTTGTTATTGCTGCAGCCAGTCCTTCCAGCAGATTCCACCTGAGTGATTTGTCATTGTAGATGATAATTTCACTCAATAGTCTCCTCACATCAGGACTTGGTTCTGTCAAAAGCCTTCCAATCACACATGTATATGCACTCTCCACCACTTTGAATTCAGGATCCCCTTCTTTTGTAGTTCCTTCTAGTAATCCTAAAGCTCGTATCACCACATCACCAAAGGATTGTACCACAGTTCTTTCAGGAATGAAACCGAGAGAGAGGAATTCATTTGCCGAACTCCTTGAAATTGTAGCTTCAGAATCTCCAGCTGCCACCCTTTTCAAATAAACTTGAAGCATGAGAGCTTTCAACTCATTATCTTCTGGCCATTTTAACTTCTGAAATAAGCTAACTTCCTTCCTAACTGTCAACAACTCCTTCCCTGTTCCGAGGTGTTCACTCATGGGCGGCACATATCCAGCTCCATACTCAATAGGTGGATGGTTAGAACTTCCCAACTTAAAAAGTACAGTAAACACATTAGAAATTTCAAAATGAGCTGTGACTTTCTCTCCTACTAGCATTGTCCATGAGACATTCGGAATACATGCTCCAAACACTTCACAGATGATTATCAGAAACTCAACGAGTTGAAAATCCTTGCCATCAAGAGAAAGTAACTGGACACAGTCTACTGGTGGTATGCCAACTAGCAGGATATTCAGCATTGATGCATAACAGCTCGACTGATTCTCTTTTCCAGAGTACTCTGTAGAAACGGGTGGAAACCACAGCGTAGTAATGTAGTAGGAAGTGTGTTCCTTTTTAACGACGTTCAGTCTTCCATCTGCTTTCCCAATAGCTAAGAGCTGTTGAATCCCGCCAAGATGATTCCAGTACGTAACATCACCACCAAAGTATTGATTATAATTCACACTAGGACAACCGTGGACCTCTAATTCGTCTTCTGTGACATGATAGTGGTGCAGTACCTTTTCAGCATCCCTATTGTTAGCTACTTTAATAAAATCAGAATTATAACCGTGAACATAGCTCAAACTATCAAACCCCGCAGAGGAATTATTTTGGTTTTGCATTTCAATTTTATCCTCCTTTTTCTCGGACTTTGATTCATCCTCTTCTATTTCCCTAGTTTCCTCAATACAGACAGTTTCTGTAGAGCTTCCCCAAGTATTTGAACCAACAATTTTATCAACGCCAAATTCATATTCCATGGCAATGGATTGAATCACCACAGAAGTTTTCTCCTCTGGTTCCAAATCACCATTGATGAATGTATCTTCAGAGTTAGGTTGTCGCTGACTCACATACTGCTGAGAAGTGGTTTGCGAGTGCGAACTGGGAGATACGGTTCACGAGTGCGAACTGGGAGATTTTTCCGCTGATTGCGTCGCACTTTGATGTGAACTGTGAGAAGTTCTTTTCGATCGTGATGATTCCCGGTTTTCTGTCTTCCGCCTGCGTGTAGGTTGGAAACTCCAAATTGTTGCTTCCTTTAGAACTTCCCAATTCTTTTCTCTCGTTCCAATTTCCCACAATTGAAACCAATTGTACGCCATTTCCTCCATTGTTTCTTCTGCCACTCTAACCTTGTATTTTTCAGCAGTACCTTTGAGGCTGAAGTATCGTTCCATACTCATTATCCATCTGTGCGGGTCCTCTCCTTTGAATACAGGTAAATCTGATGATTCCTCTGGACTGACGTAATTTCTCGCATTCCTAAGGTGCGAAGTGGAATGCGAACTGTGAGAAGATGTTCTCGACTTACCTCCGACTTCATCGCGAGTCTTCCACCCATCATCGCTAGTCTTCCGCGCTTCATCGCGATTCTTCCACATCTTCTCGTTGTTTCGTTCCAATTTGCGCAAACCAGATGCGGCCAATTCTGACCATCGATGTTCTTCACGTAAACCATAGCGCTTCTCCATGGTTCCAGGCGTCGATTGCTCTGAAGAAGACGAAGAAGATTCACTACTGTCCAGTCTCTTGCTTCGCTTTGTTGTTTTAGACCTTCCGCGCGACTCGCCTCGCTGCATTATTAACTCGCGCAACTCATCGCGAGTTAGCTGAGCCTCTTCGCGCATGTCTTCGCAGTCGCGATCGCGATCGCGCATCACCTCCATGCGAGTCTTCTCCAACTCTCGCAACATGTCCAGACGACTACGCTCCAACTCACGTTCCAGGTTTTCCAGTCTAACTTCCATTGTTATTCTTGTTGATCCTCTCGTAACGACCATGTACAGGTTACAAGGTCGATGCTCTGATACCAATGTTATGTACCTGACTAATTCACAGTGATTTCAAGAAGTAAAAGATGAAAAAGGAAGATGTGCGTAACAATGGAAGCCGTCGTTTAACAGAAAATGTAGAGAAAGAATTACAAAGGCAGTTAAAGAGTGCCTACTCTCCAAAGTCCCAGACCCAATTAACAATTCCAACCTCCTTCTATTCTACCATCCACCTCTATTTATACTAACTATTCTAATATTATTATCTCTTATTATTATTAGTGCTATTCTGCCGGAGTCCTATCATGCATTAAATGTTTTTCTCGCTAAATTTTGATTTCCCGCCAATTGTGGTGGTGCAGGCTAGTCTACTTCTTCAGCCACAGGTGTCATTGGACCTAACCTTTAGTTGATCCTGCTCAAAATGGGCTGACAAAGTACTCCAGGGCTCGCCGGCTCACTCCCCCCCCCCCCCCCAGGTCACACTTGGTAGTATAGTAGCCCTTGGACTGTGCCCTTATGCATGTGGCTACTTCGGCTAGGGTCAGTTAACTTGTGTTGGGCCGGTCTGCTATTGCACGGCTCAATACCTCAATAGTGTTTAAACTTTAAACAAAATAAAAAAAAGGATGCTGATTTAAATGAAAGAGGCCATGTTGCATGGAATTACACAAATATGAGAATCACAAGAAAATAGGAAATACCATCTTTATATAGAAACAACTGTTTGAAGGGTTTCCAAAAAGTTCCCGTTGAATTTTCAGAATGGGAAGATACTCTTTCCCATGACTTTCTATGCTTCAAAGGAAAGGAGATTATTAACTCTTCATGCATAACATTTTTTGACAAAAAAATGACATAAAAACAATTACAATTAGAAATATATAAATTGAACAGTTTTTGTGGGCACATGGGAAAGGACTGAAGAGACAATATAAAAGGCTAAATATACACACTACCGAAGCAGATTGTTTGCTTTAAAAGTTAAGCATCCTTTGCAATTGTAGACGCCAGGGAGTTCTGCCCAAACTGGTTCCTTGTTCCAGATCTCCTCTTTCTTCTTGCAGTTCCAGGAGGGGGCTATTTTACATGTGTAGTAAAAATGTCATTAAGATGTCACACATCGCCTCAATCGAATACAATAATACTCCCTCTGTTATTTGTGCTCCCTTTTTGGGAGATTTTTATTATTTGCTACACTTTCCTAATTTGGCAAGTTTTACTATATCTAAATACAAAGAACATAATTACTTTTACTTTTCATCTTCTCTTTCTTACATTCTTTATTTTTTTATCTTGTCCCTAACTACTAGGCATTAAAAAAAGGATGAGCAGGATGAAGAAAAATCTACATGTATTATTTCTTCCAGTCATTCGATTAGTATCCATGAGGATGCTTATGCTTAGAAAACAGCTACATATGATGTGTGTGTAACCTCTGACATAGTAAGGACCACTACATAATAAGCATCACCTTCTGTAGCGATTTCACAGAATCTTCAAGATTCCTCAGAGCAGGAATGGACCCACCCTCCATTAAACCCATCAAATTCTTCATACGCACACGCATTTGGAAAAGCTGAGCAACAAGTTGGCTCACCTACAAATATGCTATACATATAGTAACCCTTCGATAGGAAAATCTATTTAATAAAATGAAATATACACAGCATCGGCTGATTAGGACCTGCTGTTCAGTTTTTCCAGAATCTTGAGCAATGCGTTGCCTCCTGTCGGGAGATTCTGCCAACACCTCTGGCTGCTCCCTCTCCACTATAGCAAATCACAATTAACACGCACCATCAACCATTGAATTGAACTGTTGTAGATAATTTAGGTTCACGTGACATGTAGAAATTGGGCTATACTGCATATTGTTCGGCGACATAAAGTTTCTAGTAGCAACTAATTGTCTTAAATGAGTTTGAACAATAATACTACAAAATTACTGCAAAAAGAAATCAGGACAAGTGCAGCAAATGACATACCTGGGGTCATTGCTTCAATCATTGATTCCACATCTTTTAAGCTCTTCTCTGCATCTCTGATCTGTGAAGGTGTTACCTGCACAGAATTTGAAATACCACCTCTTGTTATCAGCAAAAGAAATTTACACAACTGGAAGCGTGTTACTGATTTATATAGCTAGCAGAGATAGCTAAATCTCAAAGTTATCTAAGCCACCAAAAGTTCAAAGTTACCTGACAATCTCACATTTTTCTTCACACTATTAAAATGTAACTTCATACTAATTTTGCTATTTATATTTTATCAGCCGAGGGCAAGTTAGTAACATAAATGTCAAACAAAAAACAAAATAAATTCCTGAATGTGTACGCACAATTTCAAAAGAGTTAGTCCTTAGACTTATCACCATTAATCAATGAAATAATGAAAAACATAGGACTAAAATAAAAATATTGGACAAAATGTGATATTTAATGTGGTGATACTTTTGCTGTAATTGTAGTGACAATTGTGATGTTCTATTCTGCGGTACAGTGACCATGTAGTCATCATATTTTTCTCCATAAGCTAATGGTCTATGCAATTTGGACCCCATTTAGTCCTCAAGAAAAAATGACTCTAGATAAGGACATTTTCATCCATTGTTGTGGGCTGAGGACTAAATTACATCCACAAAGTCAAGGACAAAATTAAGTAAATTTGATGGACTAAACCATGTAGTAACTCTTTTAAGAACGCAAGTCCTAGATTTCTCTAATATCATTCATTCATCATCATTACCCTAGTGCCGCAAAGGCTCCCACCAATGGTGGCGTGGGGGAGGGGGGGGTCGGATGTACGCAGCCTTACCCCTGTACCAAGGTATTCAAAGTCGAAAGGCGCACCTGAAGCGCTAGGAGTCTTCTAGCGCCTGAGGCGCAAGGCGCAAAAAAGCGCTCGCCTGACTCGGGTGAAGCGCATTACTTATATAAAATCACATATACTATTCTATAATTACCAAATATGATGTATGTAACATCATATTGAACCAAATGCATATAAAATCCAGGATTCACCAAAATAAAGTCATGATTTACAAAAAATAAAACACCAAATTCAGAATTTATGGCTTTAATACTAAAACTATAAGTAAAAGACAATCAAATTGGAGCCTATTTCCCCTTGTTAAACTTGTGAGCCTACATAGTACTATTACTTTATTAATAACATAGCAATATACTAGTGCTGTGAGTAACATAGAGTAATACAGAGTATTATGACTATTATATACAAAGCAATATACTAATGCTGTGAGTAATATAGAGTAATACTGAGTACTATTACTTTTTAATATACATAACAATATACTAGTGCTATGAGTAATATAGAGTAATGCAGAGTATTAATACATTATTATGAGTAATATAGAGTATTATATACATAGTAATATACTAGTACTTTATTATATTGTGTTATATAGTAATATACATAGTAAATAAAATGGAAGATGAAGCACAAGAATGCTTACTTCGATCGTTGAGCAGTTTACGTTATGTGTTATGTGTTTAGCTTAGGTTAAGTTGTTTTGACCTTATTTACATGGGCTTTAGTAAAAAAATGGGCTTCTTAATGGTCTTGTTTGACCGCACATGTGAAGTAAAACCGGAAATAAACCCTCCCTTCTCAGGCGCGTTCAGCTTTATAGCGCATCTGCGCTTCTGCGCTTTGCGCGACTTACCTGCACCTTAGAAGGGAAGGTGTGACTGGCCATCCATAGGGCGCTGGACCTCTCTAGCGCTGCGCTTGCTGCGCTTAAGCGCTCAGGCGCACGACTTTGACAACCTTGGCTGCGCCTAACCCATCTGCGTGCGCCTCCCCTTCTTCCAAGCGCTGGAGTCCATGCTCGCTGCGCCTGGCAGGCTTAAGCGACAAGGCACGCGCTTTTGACTACCTTGCCCTGTACTAAAGCACAGAGAGACTGTTTTTGATGACCCATAGTGATAAACGCGTTGAAAATAACATGAACTGACTGTTGCTTCATAACAAAGAAGCGCAATCAGTTAAGTGAGACATTTTTCTTTATTCCATCATATTCCCAAGCCAAAAAAATAGTGAGGTTTCTCTCATCAGCAAAAAACAAATAACAAAGCCGGGAACGTGGATTTTATAGTTTGCTGTTAGAACACTGGTAATTTGACTAAGAAATCTTACTGAAATTGTAAAGAATAGATCAAGAAGATGATCAAGAAAGCTTTATTGATGAGAGATGTATTTACAGAAGGAAAACAGTACACAGGACCATTCGAGATGCCCAATCTCCAAGTCTAAAGTCCACTCAAATAACAGCCTACCACTTTTTCCTCCCCTCCCCTTCTATTTATACTACATGTACACTTATTATTATAATTTCTATCATTAGCCTAATAGGCCCGATTCCTATCACTTGCAGGTCTCAAGTGAACAAAAAAAGAGAGTTATAGGGGGGGGATGGTGTACCTTTGCCATCCCAGGAACCATTCCAATAACACGAGACATAGGGCCCATCCGTGCAACCATACGACTTTGCTTCAGGAAGTCATTGAAGTCAAACTTAGCACTCATAATCTTGTTTTGCACTTCTTCCGTATCTTCTTGGCGCATCTGATCATAATTCATAGAGTAATGCCACTCATTCAAGTTGATCAAAAATGAAGGGGAAAAATGTAAAGCAAGAAGACACTCACAACTTCTTCGGCCTTTTCCACTAAAGACAAAACGTCTCCCATCCCTAAGATACGTCCAGCCATACGGTCAGGGTAGAAAGGTTCAAGATCCTCCATCCGCTCACCTCTTCCCACAAGTTTGATTGGTTTTCCTGAAACCTGATATGAACCATTTACCCCTACTTGTTTAACACCACCATGTAAAGCTCTCGAATAAGAACACAAATATTCATTTAAGATAAATACGATCACCAAACCTCTTTTACACTCAAAGCCGATCCACCTCTAGAATCCCCATCCAGCTTTGATAGAATGGCGCCACTAATTCCAATCTCAAGATTGAAAGTTGTGACAAGTGCTACAATTTCACACACAATCACTTAACAAACAACACAAATTCCACCCTAAAAGGTTTCTTATAGGAGTAGTAGTAATTTAACTTTAACATCCCATAATTTATATTCACCGTGATTTTAAGAAATATTATGAAAATGGGAATTGGCTATTTCAACAATGATGAAGAACCTGCTGCTTCTTGGCCAGTCATTGCATCCACAACAAGCAAAACCTCTGTGGGGTTCAGTACTTGCTTCACTTCTTTTAACTCATCCATCATCGCTTTATCTATCTGAAAAAGGTATGAAAGACTATAAGAAACAAAAAGAAAAACTTTTAATATTCCAATGAATTTGTTAAAGACTTAAAGCTAATGATAACAGTTTGATATAAGTATACAACCTGAAGTCTTCCGGCTGTATCCATTATGACAACATCTACATTCTCCCTTTTGGCTTCTGTTAATCCTTGCTCAGCTATCTCTGCGGGTTTAATATCCTGCCCAGCTGTATAAATGGGCACACCAACCTGTCCCACAGTTAGCAGACATAGTGAGAAATATCCAACCACAAAACTGCCAATTCCAAATTCAAAAAAGAATACTAATAATAACAATAATGATAATAATCACCATCATCGGCTAAAACTGAAAATCAATAAGAGTCAAGTTACTAGAACCCTTTAATCTCTATGCTTAGGATAATAGCTTCTCCGTATGGAACTTATTGATCGCCAAACACTTCCTAACACAATCTGTTTGGGTTTCTCCATGACCATAATAACTGAAAGCAATCATTCTTATTTTGAAACACATGGCTTATTTCACAATATCGACCAACCACTACAGAACAATTTCACCATAATGGCCAAGCATGATATGATATCAAACACCTACCTGTTGACCCAAAATAACAAGCTGGTCAATTGCAGCAGGTCTATACACATCTCCAGCAATTAGCATGCACTTCTTCCCCTGCAATCCAGGCATCTTGAGTTATAAATTTCTTTAACCTCAGGTGCATCCAGACAATGGGAATACCATTTTGTATATCAAGCAATGGATATAGAGACACTAGAAGGTGAAAGATGGAGGGGACAGTGTTTCTGATATGTACCAGCTTCTTAAGATATAAAGCTAATTTTGCGCTGACGGTGGTCTTTCCAACACCTTGTAGACCAGCTAATAGAATAACTGTGGGGCCAGATTTCGCAAAAACTAGCTCAGAAACCTCTCCACCCATCAGCTTCACAAGCTCATCATGCACTATCTTCATCAAACAAATTCACTATGAAACATAATTAGGCTTCTGAAGGAAATATTACAATAATAATTGACTAGTAAATGTCAATTGTTAAGTCATCCCACACTCATAAAAATATAAAAACATGGGCCAACACTTAAGTTAAAAGTTGAAGTATGAATATAGTATAAGGTCATACTAAGCTTAAACAAGCAATTCAACCCTGGTACGGATAAACATAAAAGAACGTGTGGATTTCAAAATTGTTTTACCCAATGAACCAACATAAAAAATTTAGATGAAATTCAAGTCTTGATAGTAAAAATACCCCTTTCAATATGTGACTTTAAGAGACAATAAATAAAGTTAGAGGCAAATATCACAGGTGAAACTGGAAAAGAAAAGAAACGAACAAGGACTCTTTTGTGTAGCAAAACACTGATGTTAAATACAATACCTTAGCCATTTGTTGATCTGGTCTTACTCCTCTAATCAAGCCTGTGCCAACAGCTTGATCACTAACAGATTGAACAAACCTTCTCACGACCGGAAGACTAACCTGCCATACAAGGTGCATATTGCAAGTTTGAGGTACACGTTTAATTGAGAAAGTAAAATCAATAGAAAGATTTGATATACGTCTGCTTCTAGTAGAGCCCTCCTAATGTCTCTCATAGGTTCAACAATGTTTTCCTTGGTCAGCACCTCTGAAACACAATAAGCTTGTTCCATAAGTTACAAATAAAAACAGTCTATAGGAGCAAGTATTGGCAAAACATAAACAGAATGTACCATTAGGAGAAACTTTATAGTGGGGTGGTTACAGCCTCCCACTCATACTTTTCGTATACACATAGTAGGTGCATATATACACACATACATGATAGGCCTATACATTAATGTGAACGCGCGCACACATTATGTTGTATGTATTTGTGATGTATTTTTTTGTTTTTGCCCCCTAACACAATGGATGACAAAGCCAAAAGCACGAGTGGCACACAACAGTATTTAGAATAATCATCAATAAAAATGATAAAATATTTGTTTTGATCACACAGCGTATGAATATTATGTGTGTCTTTTACAACATGTTATGTATAACAACATCACACGCCGGATGAATATAAAAAATACAAACTAATACGGAGTATATTAGTTTTTAGACACTCAAGTAGAACTTTTAGAAAAGAACCGAATTTCTAAACTTCTAGTAATCTAAACCGTTATTATGGTGGAATTGTATGGGAAAGGAAAAGGAAGTCACTCCCTAAAAGAAAAGGGCATCCCTGATTACACTAATGCACTTGCTATATTATAAACTAAAGTTACATGGAGATTTTGCAATTATTCATACTTGAAAGAACATTTAGGGGGTTCACCAAGCACGACAAGCCCTGGAATACATTACACTGCTTTACAAGAGAAGCCCAGGAAGTCTTAGGGGCCGTTTACTTTCGACTTAAAGGTCTGAATGGAAACAATGACTTATTCGGTCAGCCATATACTCTTGTTTACTTAGGACTTATTTTAAAACATGACTTATTCGCTCAGACCATTTTTAACTTAATAGTTCAGCCCAAATTCAGTACTCCTTACGGTTCAGACAATGGTTCAGACATATGTATCGCCTCTTTCCCTTCTTAACCCTCTTCTTCGCTAACCTCTTCTACGGCCGCCACAAGAGCTGCGCACATAGTCCATCGCCGGTCGCTGCGCACATTTCATCTTCATCTCCGGCTCTCATCCCTCACCTTCTCCATATCGGTATTTCCTTTAATTTTTCTCTTTAGTATTTTCTCTCTGTTTTGTTTTCAATTTCTCCTAATAAGAGTTCTTCCTTGTTCTCTATCATACTTTTCACTACCTACAATGAAGTTTCGAATTTTTGAAGTAAATTCACTACATTTTTATATTTAGGTCAATCTTTTGTAATTTAATTTACATATGCCATATTGTTATATTTCATGTTTGATGTTGGATGGTTTGATATTAGGTCAGTCGAGTTTTTAACTTGATTTATACCGAGTATCTTATTATTTGGTGGTAGACCTGGCGGTATAGTTATTTTCTTTGTTTATTATGGTATGTAGGACGAGATGTGATAATTTAGGTGCTTTTATAAAATTTTCTAAGAAATTAGAGAGTTCAGAGAGTAATCATGAAGAGTAGAGAGAAGATGAAAGTATGATATTTGTGTTTATATAGACTAAAAAGTAAGAAAAGTCTCTAAAGTTATAGAGTCCAGCAAGTAAAAATAAAAATGGATAATTACAATTGAACAAAGAGATTCATTTTTCTGAATTTGTTTTTTTCTTTCTGAATTTGGTAAATTTGAAGTTTATCACATTCCAAACTTTTTGTTTTGGGATCTAAGTTAAAGAAAGTCTGTGCACTGCATTAGCTGAACTTACATGGCTGACCATTAGTCCCTTCATTTTTTTATTGCTATTTGCAGGAAGCTTTTTGAACTACTAAGTTTGTGCACTGCATTAGCTGAACTTACATGGCCGACCATTCTCAGCAGAAGGCAAACATTCAGGTTATTCGTGGTGTTCATTTGGACAAGTAGAAAAGGACTGCCTTTTCTTGTGCCTCGTGACATCTTCAGTTTCAGTTTCATGCAAGTGCCTTAAATTTTATATTCAGATGCAGGGAAGTGTTTCAAAATTTTGATCATGTTTCTGTCTCAAAACTAAATGAGAAGAAGATAGCAGCACCAAGAGGTCTGGCCAGTTCTCTTTCCGAGGAGTTGGGCCGACCGTCATCTACTCTTTCATGCAGGCTGCAGGAATTACAAATGACCATCTCATCAGTTGCTTCAGATTCCTGGAATGTATAGCTGCTTCTGCTGATGCAACTAACAAAGTTGACAGTCCTAAAGTTGATGCTCATATAAAACAACTGGAGGATGAAGCTGAGATGGGACTAGTAAGGGCTATTGATGACTTGAGCCTATTCTCATAGGTATGATTTGTTAAGTAGATGCATTGTAATTTACACTTATTATAAAAGGGCGGCTTTCTGTGCCCGCCCTTCTGTGCGAGACAGTTTGAAGGGTGAGTTGAGCATGTGTACAAATGACTATGAGACTACTACATTTATTTCTTTGTAGATTGTAAAGTAGAATTTGTCTGCATAAACAACAATATGCAGGTACCCTTGGAAGTCCTCCAATTTTTTGTTCAGTCTAATTTCAGTTCCTTGAGCTCTGTACAGTTTTTACTACCTTTAAAATGTTCTAGCATATACAACAACAACATCCAAGCCTTGTTCCCGAAAAGTTTGAGATCGGCTAAGATGAGTTGACATAGAATATCAGAGTTTGTTGGCTCCATATGCAAACACGCGTGGTTTCTTGGCTCCATATCGTAACACAAGATATTGGTTAGCAGATTATCGACGTTGTCGTGCACTGACTAAAGAAGAAAAATTCAATCATGCACATGCACAACTTCGGAATGTGATTGAACGTACTTATGGTGTCTTGAAAGCAAGATTTCCAATCTTAGAACAAATGGCTTCTTATCCATTTGCGGTACAAAGGAATGTGGTGATTGCTTGTTTTGCGGTTCACAATGTTATTAGAAAATCTAACATTAACATTGATGATAAATTCTTTGAAGACATTGGAGAGGAAGTACATGAAGCACAATGGGGTACACGAGTCTACAATATATGGCGAATTTGCGGGATGAAATTGCTAATAGACTAGTATGAAATGTTTAAATTTAAAATGTCGTTCTCGTAAAACTCATGACCTTGTTTTATCATGCAATATGACTCTTTTATTTAAGTAATTCATAGTATTAGTATTTTCTGGTATATAAATTTTATCTTTCAAAACAAAGAAAGTAAACAGACAATATACATTCATCATTTGTTACATACAGGAGGGTTATTTAGTAATTAGACATGATTCAGACTTCTCATTCGGCACACTTAGTAAACAGCTTGTTATCTCAGTGTAACTTAATCCAGTCAGACATCTTAATCTATTCAGGACTGAATAATGAGAAAAAAAGTAAACAGCCTCTTATAGAGTTATAGGTATCATCACGTCATGCATACTCACTAAGTAACCATATGCACTCACTTTGTGGGCATAAATTGAGCTCAACAGTAATATAAAAAAAAGTAATAAATTCATCAGCCTAATTTACAATTAAAATTAGGTCATTATGCACAAAATTCTCAGAACTAGATGATCAATCTCCGAAATTTGAACCAACTTCAGAATAGCCACAGCAAAAACACATAAGCTTTGACATGAAAAGTTTGAGAAACCTTCCCCTCTGAGCTTGCTCCAGGCGGTTTCAAGCCCGGTGGTGAGCTGCCCGAACATTTCGGCTCTGATCACGCCCCCCATTTCTCTTCTGGAAGTGGGTGCATTCTTGAAATTGATCACTCTATACACCTCGTTCTGCCACAAGGAAAAAAAGAGGACTGACTTAACTACCTAAGAAAATAAAAGCATTTGAAAAAACAAACAGATAGAAGAGCAGACAAAGTTGAGATTCGGAATGTTTTTAGTACATACGGTGAATGATTTTCCATAAGAGAAAGACAGAGAGTGGGCGGAACCCGTCCAAGAATAAGAAGGAAAGGGCCCTTTCGGATTCGAAATGGAAAATTTGGTCGGCGAAGGCAGGGAGAAACAGCGGGGAGCAACAGCCGCTGACAAAGTTGTTTCCATGGGAAATTTTCTGTTTTCAGTCTATAGCAGCAGAATTCTCCGACGGTGTTGACCTCATGGGAATTTTCATAAGAATACCATTCTTTTGGCACTCATATTATCAAAATGCCCTTTTTTGTTTAAAATAATAAAAACATCTCAAATTACAAAATAACTTTTTGCTAAAAGTTAGAGTTTGAACACTCCTTTTGAACTCTTCATTCAAAGATACACGAGACATCGCTCTCTTCATTCTCTCTTCCTCACAAGTCACTCCTCTTCGAACGGTACTTCTAAAGACACTCCTCCTTCAATATTTTTCTCCATTCTAAAGACGCTCCTCCTTCGAGCTTAGCTGCAATTGTGCCACTTCAGCCATCATGAAGTGCCATTCGGAACCAGTTGAATCTTCTTTCTCTAAACAAAGAAATTAAGGTAATTACTCATTCAGTCAACCTAATTACATGTTTTTTGTTCTTTGAATTTGTTTGACCCTCAATTCATAAAAGGTTTGGAAAGACACCGTATGAGCTGATCAACCGCCGAACTCCCAGTGTTTCTTTTCCTCCACCCACTACTGCGTCTACAGCTGCCACCCCTACTCTCGCAACAACTCCATCATCTTCTGCAACCGCAGTTGAGACTAAAATCACTACTGTAATTTCAATGCATACGCCCACTAGACCTTCATCTTCATATGTTCTTCGTGCTAATAATCCTCATGTTGATCAGCAACCAAACAACAATGCTCAGCCGCTCCCTCATGTCAGAAAATGGACTCGTGCTATCGAGAATGAATGTCTGTTTTCCTATTTCCTAAGTCAAATTGAGCCTACTCATGTCACTGAAGCGTTAGCTGATCCTGATTGGATAATTGCCATGTAAGAAGAAATCAATCGGTTTGAGAGTCTGAAAGTCTCGTCACTTGTGCCTCATCATCCTGGAAAATCAATCACAGGCACTGAGTGGGTCTTCAAGAACAAGAAAGATGAAGACGGTATCGTGATTCAAAATAAGGTTTGTCTGGTTGCGAAAGATTATAATCAACAAGAAGGCATCGACTACAATGAGACATTCGCTCTAGTTGCATGCATTGAAGCCATTCGATTGTACATGGCTTATGTTGCACATAAAAACTTCACCATTTATCAAATGGACATCAAAACAACATTCTTGAACGGGATCTTGAAAGAAGAAGTCTACGTAGATCAACCAGAAGGCTTCATCGGTGAGAAATATCCAGTTCACGTTTATCGTATGGATAAAGCTTTGTATGGACTCAAACAAGCCTTGAGAGCTTGGTATGAGTAATTATCTGATTTCCTTGTTGATTCTGGCTTCTCAAAAGGAACATTTGATACTACTCTCTTCATTAAGCAACATGGGTCTTACATCATCTTGGTTCAGATCTACGTTGACGATATCATTTTTGGTTTCACTAATCCAGCCCTCTGCATTGCGTTTGGAAGTCTGATTCAATCTAAGTTCGAAATGAACATGATGGGCGAAATGAATTTCTTTCTTGGACTAAAAGTCAAACAGTTGCCTAACGGAATCTTTATTTATCAGTCCAAGTACATTCATGATTTGTTGAAGAAATATGGTCAAGAGAACAGCACCCCTGTGAAAACCCCGATGACTTCTGCATGCAAGCTTGATACTGATCCATCGGGGAAAGCCTGTTAATGTTACTAATTATAGGGGAATGATTGGTTCTTTGCTGTATCTGACCTCGAGCTGACCTGATATTATGTTTGCTACTTGTCTTTGTGCCCGCTTTCAAGCAAATCTAAAGGAATCCCATCTGCTGGTGGTGAAACGAATTCTGCGTTATCTGAAAGAAACTCCTAATCTAGGACTCTGGTATCCTAAGAAGACTGCATTTGCTCTGATTGCGTTCACTGACGCGGACTTCGCTGGATGTAAAATGGATAGAAAGAGTACTTTTGCCGGTGCTCAATTTCTTGGAGAAAAGCTGGTCTGTTGGTCCTCAAATAAGCAAAATTGTGTGTCCACATCTACAACGGAGGTTGAATATGTCGCTTGTAACACCGTCCCCAAGTATATTTACTTTTAGTAAATCATGTAATGAACCTTGAATAATGATTCATGAATTTACGAAGTTGTAAATTTTTGTTATTACGTTTGTGTGAACAGTGAATTGCACGTGGGGCCCACATCGGGAGCGGGGACCACCTGATAATTCCGGGACCCCATATTATATTCATCTTGGTCTAGATAATATGTATATGGTGGTATATATTTTAGTTGGGCCATATAAAGGGCATAGGGTTGACCCGTCGGTCAAACGAGGCCCAATTACCGGTATCGGTAATTTATGAGATAACAGTCCGAAACGGATTTCGGAGACGTCTAAATTAAAGTTGGGGAATGAATACTCATTAAAGCAATAACTTTTTTTTATATATTCGATATTGATCTCATATGAAAGATCACAAAAAATTGTGAATTTTGATATATATTTTGTAAAAATTAGAGTAAAAAATAAAAAAGTTATAACACTAAAGAAAATTGAAGTATTTTATAACTTGAACCCCACCAAAATTATAACTTGAAAATCTTGGAATTGTTATCATCGCTAGATTTTAGTTTTTTTTCATAATCTTTTCTTTGTTTTATTAATAAGATACTACCTCCGTCCCAATTTGATTTGCAAATTTGAATTTTTTTGGTCAAGCAGATTCATTTTATTCGCTTAATTAGGATGTCATTTTTTAATTATATTCTAATTTGTTGTTTACAACTTTGAAGAGATTTTAATATCGTTTCTGAATACTCGTGATTTTGACTTGGATTGTAGTTTAAGAAAGTGGGAATTATTTTAGAACGCTAATATCTATTTTATTGGATAAATAATCATTGTTTTATTATTATCGGGAAAATTAATAAAAATACCCCAAACTTTGAATGAGTGTGAGGTAAACACCTCTAACTTGCATATGCAATTTAAATACCCTAAACTTTAAATAAAAAGTTATTTTACACCATTGTCATGTATGATTTCTTTCAAAAATGTAAATTTATGGGCTTAATCGCATAATTTAAAATAAAAAATTAAAAGTGTTGTAATTATATAGATTGGGGGTAACATTATTTATTTCATAATGGAAGTTTAGAATGTTAATTGTGTCTTCATAAATTCTAAAATATTTTAAATTATGCAGTTAACACCATACACTTACATTTTTGAAATAAATGATATTAGACTATGGTGCTAAAATAAATTTTTATATAAAATTTGGGGTATTTAAATTACATATGCAAGTTTGGGGTGTTCATCTCACACCTCTTCAAAGTTTGGGGTATTTTAATTATTTTTTCCCAATTATTATTAGTATCCGTTTGCAAATAATAATAATATGGAGTAGCGTTTGGTTTCCCCTGGAACATTTTTTAAAGCTCCGTGGAACTTTATTAATAGAGATAGTTTTAAATCCAGAACTCGAATAAGTTACAGTGTGGTGTATTTAGGGGGGAGCAGAACCGACCCAACCCGACTTATCCAATCAGGTATATCCGATTTTTGGATATTGGGTCGGATTACCCGACCCGAACGACACTACCCGAACCATCCCAACGGTTCTGGGCGGACTGCGGACTGCGGGCTGCGGGTTGGGTTTTACTAATACCCACCCGACCCGCCCGATCCCCCGATATATATGGGCCTCTGATCCTATACGGCTATACTCATTACCCCCAACCGACCCAACCCTACACGGCTACACCCTTTAACTCTTTATCCCTGAATCTCTAATCGTTCAACATTCTCATTTCTCAGCGCCTCTTTCCTTTGAACCCTAAACATCACCTTCTAAATTATTCTCTACTTCTCTCTAAAATCAGATATCTCAGACTTGGCCGTCGTCCGTCGGTGCCAGTTAGCCGCCATTGTCGTCTGAGTAATTCATTTCTTTTCTTGATTTCTTCTCTCTTTGTGTGTGACTGCTCGGTTCATAATTCGTATTATTAGTTATTACGTATGTCTATCTTTGATACTTGATATGATTGTTTATCTTTATCTGTTGCAGTCCATCTGTGTTATGACTTCTGAGAAACAGATAAACTGATAGACTGGGGTGGTATTGTGGAAGCCCAAAGTCCGGATCTCCCAAGACCTTAACTCCGCCCTTCTTCAGTTCTGTTACCTGATATTTTTTGTTGGACCATTGAGCATCACTGCGGTATAAAATTAAACATACTTATGCATGTTTGAACTTGGAAGGAATGGAAGCATTGTTTAATGTTAATTGAATGATTCAATCCTGTGTTACCTGTGTAGTTATATATTCATATGTGGAATTAAACATATTCATGCACCATTGATCAGTACTGTGTAATTATATATTCATATGTGGAACTGTGGAAGCATGTGGAAGCTTATGACTGAGTGTTAAGTGTTAACACCTCTGAATGATGATGAATTGGTTATTAGCTTATTTGATTGATTGTTTTCTGAATTCTGAATGTACAATGTCATCTAGTCATGTCTCATGTCAGCATGTGGAAGCTTATATATGAATGTGCAATCTACTCATGTGGAAGCTTATGAATGTGTCATCAGACAATGTCATCTACTCATGTCTCATGTCATCTAAGTTATGATGTGCAGTTTGTAACTGACTAACTGTGTAATGTGTTGCCTATCAACCTATGTGTACATAACTTGACTTATATATGTTTTAATGAAGAAGCCTTTTGTACTCTGGTTCTCAAATGAGTAATGAGAGTTGACTGGTTTCTTCAAAGTCTGTAGAGAAGTGAATATGCACACTGCATATTATCCTTCTGTAGATCAGCTTGCTGATTGTTCCAGACTTCATGTCTCATGTATGATCTTACTTGAGTTGTCAATTTGTAGTCTTACAAGTGTATGCCATAAACACTATGAATCATTGATGATGAGTGGGAGCTAGCCCGAGTCCTTGCTAATATGTGACTTTAACAACAATGCCCAATGAATAGATGGAAGGTCAAACTTCTAAAAGTGAGAACATACTTTTATCTGGATCTCTCAACTTCCTTTGAGTCAAGAAACAGTGGTGGAAGCTGAAATGGGTGATCCTAACACTACCAATGCCCTTAGTGCAGTCAAAGAACCACCTCCTATTTCTGGACAAAAAAGAAAATAGGTTGATGGCATATCTAATATATGGGATCACTTTACCAAGATTAAGGATAACAAAAGTGTGGTTATTAAGGGGAAGTGTGATTACTGTGCCAAAATATATTGTTGTCTCTCAAAAAAATATGGTACTTCCTCCATCAGAAATCACATGCATGCTTAGTTGTTTGAAAAATCCTCATGCAAAAGACACTAGACATGCACTCTTAACCTTTCAATCAGTCCCTCCACATAGAGGCCAACCATTTGAAAATATTGGGTCCAAGAATACAATTCTTTGTGAATTTGAAAAATAGCAAATTCTGAGCCAATTCTTAAGGTCCTTGGATCTTTGTAATAAGAATTAATCAGTTTCTTCTAAGTATCATGTTCATAGTATAGTCCAATTCTTTGTGAATTTGATACTTGTTTATGTCTTCTATGTTGTATCCAGTGCAACATGAAGTATTCAACAAGTACTGTTATAGTGGTATGTTGTTGATTGTTGTTAAGCTTGTATTAAATGTTGATGTCACTCTTTCAGTTCATTAGTGATGTTCTCTTTCAATCTTTCTTGTGATTTGTGAAACTATTAACATATCAATATTGATATATCATATACGAAATATATGATATATTAACTAATCTGCCAAATTGGCAATGATGAAGTTTCCACTCATTAAGGGGTTTAGGGTTGGTATTGCTCTTTCAGTACTTAAGTGAGAACTGAAATTGTAGCAGATGCCCCCTATCCTATATGAATGATAAAAAGCATTTTGAGCCAACCGTCATTATCTTGTATACTCACTTGGGTAATTGGGTCCTTGGATCCTTGTAATAAGAGTTAATCAGTTTCTTCTTAAGTTAAAAGTTTTAACTTCTAAGTATCATTTTCATAGTATACTCCAATGCTTTGTGAATTTGATACTTGTTTATGTCTTCTATGTTGTGTCCAGGTATTGAACTTGTCAAGTTTTGACATATTTAATGTAACACCGTCCCCAAATGTATTTATCTTTAAGCTAATAATTTATTGAACCCTATGAAATTTTTGGTGAATTTACGAAGTTGTGAATTTGTATTAATTTTTTTCACGTGAATAGTAAAATGCACGTGGGGCCCACATCGGGAGTGGGGACCGCCCGATATTATCGGGGCCACATATTATATTGATCTTGGACTAGATAATATGTATATGGTGGTGGATATCCTAGTTGAGCCATGACAATGGCATAGGGTTGACCGGTTGGTCAAACGGGACCAAATTATCAGTATCGGCAATCTATCAGATAACAGCCCGAAAAGGGATTTCGGAGACTTCTAAATTAAAGTTGAGGGATGCATATTGATTCTAAGGTCCATTAAGAATTGGGAACAAGTGTTATATTTTATTTGACCCGATAAAATAAAATATACTTAAAACAGTCCGGAAAAATACAACTTTCGGGACCGATTGTACACTTCTGGACAAAAAGGGTTGACCTCCCACATGGGTGGGGGCCAACCCACGATTTTAGCCTCATTATTCAGGGCCTGAGCAGGCTGGTAGGAGAGTTGAGGTGGGAGAGGACTGATTTGAGATGTTTGGCATCAAAACAAATCATGGTGGCCCTCCTCCCTTTCACTCATTGCCCAAAAGGAGACAAAGAGGCATTCCTACCCATCCCCCTCCTCACTAGTTCGGCCAGCAGCAAGGGAAAGGAGGAAAGAACCTCTACAACTTCATCTCCATAGCCCCAAATCCGAACTCAAGCTCAAGGGAGTCCAAGAAGAAAGTTTAAGAAGGAAAAAGTTAGGAAAAAGTGTGAAAATTAAGGTAATGACCTTATCATAACTTTTCCTTTGTTTTTCTTCTAGCATATAAGATATATATCATATGAAAGACCTTTAGTATTGTTCTACATGATTTAAGTGTGGAATAATGGGTTGGAAAGTGATTCTAAGTCCAAAAACGGACTTAGAAGCCAAATCGACCGTTTTGCCGGAAAATAACCTTTTATAGGTTATTTGTGTTGATATGGGTTTTGTGATGATAAAACCTTGTTAGGAACTTGATTTGAAGTATTTTTGAGCTTCGTCGGAGTTTCGTCGGAGTTGGTCAAAGTTCGCCGGAGTTGGTCAAAGTTCAATCGAGAAACGTAGAACGCGCTTAAGCTTAATTAAGGTGAGGATGACCGACTATGTTACTTATAATCTTTGGGTTAATTTCATGGGATTTCCTAAGTGAATACAAATGTGATGTGCATGGGTTGTTCATGGTTATTAATGCCTAAATAAAACTACTATTGATTTTAAGTATAGTATGCATGATACACAAATTTATGAATAAATTGTGTATGTTTAGATGTTATGATTATGTGTGTATGATGGTTGTACCAACCATGAATTTCATTTGAGATAGTATACTTGATACCATGAGGAGAAGCCATGAAGGTATGAAAGTGATACTTGATATTAAGGCAAATCATGCATGAAGAAAGAATTATATTGAAATAAATAAATAACTAGCATTGAAATATTAGTTGGAAATGTTAGTTGAGAATTGGATGAATTAGATCCTAAGAATTTGAATTATAAAGAATCGGTGATTATGAGCCGGGCTCAAGACCGATGTAGATAACGGTGATTATGAGCTGGGCTCTAGACCGTAGTAGATGACGGTGATTATGAGCTGGGCTCTAGACCGTAGTAGATGACGGTGATTATGAGCTGGGCTCTAGACCGTAGTAGATGACGGTGATTATGAGCGGGGCTCTAGACCGTAGTAGATAACGGTGATTATGAGCTGGGCTCTAGACCGTAGAAAAAAATGATGAATTGATACTAAATGAACGGATTAACTATAATGTAATGATGCTCTAGATTAAGGGCCTTAGAGATTTAAACTTCGATTATACTTAGTATAGTTGTCATTGTACTTGTCAAATGCTTCCAAGTACTGACCTCCCCTTCACGGGGGAGGCCACCTCACAGTTTCAGGTAGAACTTGAAGGTTGCTACTACCAGCCGCTGTTCGGGAAGTTTCTGAGAAGAAGACTTGGTTCGTGCTTCTTCCGTTCTCGTTTTGAAAACAATATGAATAATGCTCATGGATAATATTTTCTGAATAATTACTTTGGGGGCTTGCATGCCTAATTATGCCAAGTGTGACTTGAACACTTGTATCAATTGTTTCCGTTGCTTTAACAAATGTTTTACATTATGTTTGTTTATGGATGTGCTATGTGTGAATGGTATTCAAGACGTCTTGTATAGTATGGATGAGTCGGACTGCGGTTGACTATTCGTACTGTACGGCGGGTTGTTGACGTGTCCGGGTAGGTCCGGGGCGTGACATTTAAGCTGGGAACTAGGAAGTGGTCAAGTATTGAAGTGGGAACTTCTGATTTTGCAGTTTTTACCTATTTGTGAAAAAAAATGTAACTTTAATCTTGTATTATTTTGTGAATTGTGCCTAGTACTCTAGTAGTGTATTTAAAATTTTGCAAACTTCAAATTTTGGCCTCACACTATGTAAGTTTGAAGTCTTTAGATTTCCATTTTGGCTTGCAAAATTGAAATTGTATTTAAAGTTGCATTTATTTTTGGCTAATTTTTTAATCCGAATCAATCCGATATCCGACCCAAACCCGAACATAACCCGAAAAAATAAACCCGAATCTTTTAATTTTTTAATACATAGAATCGAGTTTCCATTCCACTCACCCGAAACCCAAAAGGGTCTTGACTTTTTTAAACCGCCCGACCCGAACCCGACCCCTGCTCCCCCTAGGTGTATTGGTGTTAGCTTAGTGGTGTCAATATATAAGCGCGGATTCGAACCCTTTATCTTCAAATTTTTACTCCGTATTCTTTTATCCGATGACATGGAGTAATGATGTGGAAATGAAATTTAACCAGTGTGCTGACATGTCACGTTGAGAGGGAAAAACGCCCCTATTTGGAATATAAGTTTGAAAGTACCCTATTTCGGGAAATTACAAAGTACTCCTCCAAGATCGGTATACTTTCTCTTTTTGGATATATTTAAAAGTTTGACAACTTTATCTTTTTGATAAGTTTTTCATTTTAAAAATACTCAATTATCCTTACTTTTCATACCTTTTATCTTTCTTTTGCGTACTTTTTAACCCTCTCCCCTATTCGTTTACACTATTCATTATCCCTATTATACTTTTTTTTGTTGGACCAACGAAAAAACACTTAAAATGGAGGCTACAGGAGACGATTCCTATCGAGAAAGGCTGACATTTCTCGCTTTATCCTGCCTAAAATTTCGGCCCAGAATCATTTTGCCTAAATACTAACCCTAGATTGTCGATGTATATATGAAATTTTCTTCAGTGAGCTAAGCTCCCGCAGCCACTGTATATTTTTTTCTTCATCCTCTGCCGTCTTTCCGGACTTATGATTCATCCCTCCTGCTCCGACTTCGTGCCCTCCTTCCTCTAAGATCCCCTCTACTAATCCCCTCTTCCATATCCTCACAACCGCTTCATCGCTTCGATGTGTCCTCACCATCACGCCGTCGTTCCGATCTGTCTTTACTGTCGCTCCATCTGTCTGATCTGTCCTCAATGACTTAATTAAGAATCTGGTTGATGATCGTCTATCCGTTTTTTCCTCTATGTCGAAGCGGGCTGTGTGCACCTATGAGGTAATTTTTCTGTTATGTTCTGATTTTTAATAACATAAAATTCTTTTGTCAGCAGTTCACGTTAATAGAGAAATGGAATCTATGAATACTAGAGGGAAATGTATGAGTTTAGTTGACTATTTGATTTGCTTTTATTTCGATTTTACCTGAAAATATGATTTTTATGCTATTCAATTTTCTTGGTTTTGCATATTCTGTTTTATTTCACTGTTATATGTATCCCTTTATTTGTACTTACAGAGTATTTTAAATATATTTATGCCAATATTAATCTCGAAAAATTTACATCTCATGGTGTCCAAAGGAAGAGGAGGAAGAAACTAAATGGAGAAGCAAGAAAGGAAGGAAGAAGGGATCAATAAAGAAAAAGAAGTAAGTAAAATGTGATATTGTTACTACACTACATACTTAATGTTATATATTTTAATTTTATATTTATTTAAATTTTATGATAAAATATGACTTTATAATTAAACATATTTTTTATTCCAATCATGTATGTCTTTATCATTATCAGTAGAGAAGGCAGTTTGGAGCTAACCTTTACTTATGCCAAGTTAGTTTAGAATCACTTAAAATGCCATTTTATGTGCAACAATAGAAGCAAAGTTGTATTCTTAAAGTGACTGCATTTCTGTGTTTAAATATCTAATGTTTTATGTTCTTATCTTTGACACGATGATGCACATTTGTATCAATTTCAGGTTTTGTTATGATGTTTAATGAATTGGTTTTGTGTTTTTCATGGGGTTCACATTTCACAAATGAGCAGATAATCCAAAAAAAATTCTCAAAGAAAAAAATATAATTCATGAGTTTGTGTAAATTCTTTTTAAAATATAATCTTATCATATATTAAAACATATGATAGTTTTAGAGCAGCATACAAACGTCTAATCTCTGATGTTTTTCATGGATTTAGGTGTTACATACTTACATATTGACTGAATTGAACAAAAAAAGAGGTTTATCAAAAAAAAAAACAAAAAACAAATAGTAATGTGAGAGTTAGTGCACACATAAAAAACTTACATACGATGAGTATGGTTCAATGCAACAGATTAAATATTTATAGCTAGGGGTACTAAACAAATAATGTTTGTGTTTATAGCATATAATAGAATATGGACTATCTTAAATCATCACCTCTTAACATTGTTCAATATATGTGCATTTTATGATAGAAAAGAAAATGAACCAAAGTAATATTTCTCGAGAAATTTTTTATAAAATTGTATTTGTTAGATGATTAGGTAACACCAGATTAAAGTAAAAACTAGTACTTAGTTTTAAAAGGTCGAATATTGATAATCTGCTCTCGCGATAAATAAGTTGTTCTAGCAAGTATCAACTGCACATCTGTATAGACCGTATTCATTTACACGTTTGGTTTGTCTTAAGCGCGTACCCAGCCAGGCCCTTGAGGGTTCTGGGTTGTATAAATGAAGCTCATAAACCGGGTCCAAAATTTTGCCAGGACCTCAATTTTTATCATGAAAGCAAGGTTTAAAAAGACGGGTTCGGGTATCAAGGCGGTTTGTTCCTAAGAGGCATGGTGTAAGCCTCAAAATATATAGACATATAACACTTAAAACATTTAAACTAGTACTCCTTTTGTCCTGAAATAATTGTCGTGTTTGCTTTAGCACAAGTTGTAAGAAAGTGGTTGAAAATGTAAAAGTCGTGGTTGAGATTTAAGTAGGAAAAAGGTGAATTGATATGAGCCACACATTGTTGCCATAAGAGGAAACAAGACAATTATTTTGGGACGGAGGTAGTAACAAACAACTAAAGAAGTAAAGGATATATACATATGAGCTAATAAGTAATACCAGTAACTGTGAAGTCCAAAAGTGTGAAACAGAAACACATATGAGCTAATGCCAGTAAGTCATTAGAATTCAAGCACACAAACAGAAACATCACACACAAACAGACATCACACACAGAAACATCACACACAAACTGAAAGATGAATAGAAACTTGAAGACTTGGGGTTTATTGTGGCCACATGTTTAATTAATGGACTTCTATTTAAATAAGTACTCTGGGCCTTATATTAAATGAAATGTCTTGGGCCCTTTTTAAGTTACTGCACATTAAAAACAGAGAAACACATGAAAAACGCCTCAAGGCGTGCACCTCAACTTTTGAGGCGTAAGCCTATTAACGCTCCTCTTAAGCGCCTTTTTAAAACATGCATGTAAGTAAAAAAACCTCAAAACCTATCAGACAAACTTCTTTGTTTTAGTAGAAGATTAACTTCAGTTCAAGGTATAATGTCACAGTTTGTTACTCTAGTTTAAGTAAGAATAATAGTTTGTTACTTTTTTATGGATTATATGAATAGAATTGTAATTTTTTAATATACATCAGATATGTTTTTTTTATATTTTTCCTTTTTCTTTTGGAAATCCAAATGTTTATTTTTGAGCATGGATGTCACCAATGCCAAGAAAGGGCTCTCATACATGGATATCAAGTTTAACTGATATTTTTTCATTTAACATGAAAGATGAGCTAACAAACCACCATATATCTTCTTTGAAAGATTTTGAGCGGTACACATCAAAGTTTTGATTCTGAATTTAATATGATGCTATAATTATTAATATATATGTATGTGTGTGTGTGTTTGTGAGACCTGTGTAATTGTGTATAAAAATTGAAAGTTCGGGACTTAGAAAGTACTCTCTTATACATCTTAATTTTAAGTATAAAAATAGTCTTTGTCTTCATATGTCACCCCCTAAACATTTATACATCATTTGGTATTTTACAAAATCGGATAAGGTTTTATGCAACAAACAAGTTTCTAAAAATATCATTCACTTTTACAGTTAAAGCATCCAAAGTCCTAAAGTAACGTATATATCAAGTTAATATCATGATAGCTTATAGGCTAAAGGGTCAAATAGGCCCTTGTACCCGTTCGGAATGCTCAATTCGCCTCCTGAACTAAAAAACTCCAATCGACACCCTGAACTGGATAAAATGTTTCAATTTTGACAATTTGCAGGTAAACATCCTGTCAGCGCCACATCATCAGGTCATGTCAACTGTGCATCTAAGGTGGCAATTCAAGGGGTCAAATAAGCCCCTGAACCCAACCAAATTGCTCAATTAAACCCCTCAACCGTTAAAAAGTGCCAAAATTACGAGAAAAAATATTCAAATATAAAATTAAACACAAGTTAAAAATATAAAATATAAATATGAAATGTTTATATTTTGCTATAAATTCATAATTAAAAAAAAATATATACGTAAAGAAAGTCTTTAACTCTATTCTATATTTTATATCTATATTTTATATAAGAGAATTAACAATATATTTCCACCAACTATATTTAAAATTGTATTTATGTAATATATCTAAGATTTTGTTTTTCGGTTTTTGGATTGATGATTTATCTTATGTTTTTTATTTTCCATTTTTATTTTTTTGAACTGCATATTATTTATATTTGTTTGGATTTTATATTTAATGTTTTTGAACTGCATATTATTTATATTTGTATTTTTTATTTATTATTTTTCGTAATTTTGACACTTTTTAACGGTTGAGGGGGTGATTTGAACAATTCGGTTTGGTTCAGGCGCTTATTTGGCACTGACTAGGGGTGGGCAAACATGGTTAACCGTACTTTGGTTAACCAATAATTGGTTAACCAAGATTTCAGTTACCATATTTTCGGTAAGATTATCCGTACCATGACCTCGGTTTACCGCATATTGGTTAACCAAATTTCTGGTTACCCACTAATCGGTTAACCTAAAAACCGGAAATAAACAAAATAAAACCTGCCAACCTCAATCCTTCCAGACTCTACTTCAAGTTGCAGAGGTGCTTTACTCATTTAGGCCTTTGGCCTTCAGTCGTTTAACTCATTAATTAGTCAATTTTACACAACTACTGAACTACACCATCACGGAGTAATAAGATAAGTAGAGAAGAAGGCTGATAGGTGGCGGCGCGGTTCCGTGCTCATTGATAGGCGGTGGCGCGGAGATCAATCAATGGTCGGTACTCAATTACTCGTCTAATGGATTCCCGGTGAAATCATCTTCAGTAGAAGGTGAAAGCTCAGAAGGCAGTCGGTTGAGCACTAGAGATGGAAATTGGAATATGGGAATTGCAGCAACTACCTCCGAGTCCTTGCCTGCCACTTTCCCTCAATTGAAGCTTTTCTGATTCCAATAATCCATACATAGTCGATAGGGAGGCAGTTAGAGTACGGAAAGAAGAAGAGATCGGCAGGTTGCAGCTCGTGGAAAGGAAACACTGATAGGATTGATAGTCTGAGCTGAGGCATGTCGACTGCTACTGTTGGTGACTTTTGAACGGTTAACCGTTGGAATATGATTCCAAAATGGTAATCCGACCATCAAACCTTTTTTTCATTTCATGGGTTGATTGTACCGATAATAATTAAAAAGTCGGTATGGTTAACCGCAAAAATAGCGGGTTTTCGGCTTTTTCCCGCGGTTACCTGGTTATGGTATTTTTATGCCCACCCCTAGGGCTGACCGGATGGTTACCTTCAAATTGTCAAATTTGAAACTTTTTATCCACTCCAGGGTGCCAATTGGAGTTTTTTAGTTCAGGGGGTGAATTGAGCATTTCGGGCGGGTAAAGGGGCCTATTTGACCCTTTAGCCTAGCTTATATGATTCCATAAAGGAGTCTATAAAGTTCTATAGAACTACTCCATTTGAAGGAAGGATTGTATCTATCTGCTGTCCCAAATATCTCTTGCATCAGAAAAGTAAGAAGTTGTATCCCAAATCCCTCGTGCATCAGAAATGTTAGAAGTTATGCCCCAAATCCCTCAAGCAACAGAAAAGTAAGAAGTGATGTACTTATATCCCAAATCCCTCGCCCTTCTATTAGGGAAGGACGCTACCTATTTGCTAGCTCATTAACATGCTCTAGAAATGATTTGCTACCATGATTCTAAGTGTGAATACTCACATCTGAGATTCAAAGAGGTCAATAAGAGAAGAAAAAATTAATTAGGTTGGTGTTAGAGATTAGAAAGGAATGAGAAACAAAATTTAGATTGAAGTAAAAGCGATATCCTACATTTTTCATTTCTAAAAAGGTACAATCTAAACTACTCTTGTTTATAGAATATAATAAGCTAACAATCCTAAAAAGCTACTTCTAATTTCATGTCAATTAAACAGGACAAAGTATATTAGTTGGGAGAGTATATTCTAGAAAAAATCAGTAACTTTTAACATTTTAATATAGCTTCAAACATATAGGATGGATTGTAGCCTTGAAGGTACACGTGTAGACGAAATTGCCACTTACTGACAACACAGTCCTAGCCAGTTTCTAGTTTGCATTCTTAAATTTCCATGTTTTTTTTGCTTGTCCATTGTTATTTATTAGTACACCACATCCACACCAAACATCCCAGACACCGTGCTTTCCCTTATCATGGGTGGAAATGAAAGATGATGACTGAGGTCGGGAACATTTTCTTCTTCCCTAAACAAATTCATGTTGATTGTCGTCTCTTGGTTTATTTGTCATTTACAATTAACTGGTTTTGATTTTAATAAGGTGTTTGAAGTGAAAATTTTGGATAGTCCACTTCACATTTCTAGGCTCTGATAAAGCTTGATTCTAGTCTTGAAGTTTGATTCTCTTGGTGTTATTTGGCGTTCATTTTCTATAGACACGAAAATATATCAGGGTTTTTCCAGTTTCTATGATATTAATTTTAGCTATGTACATACAGCCTGCTGAATCCCCATTATCATTTTGATCAGCTAAACCAAATAATCTTACTTGTTTTTTTGTCAATTGCAGTAATTATGTAAATTATTTACACTTGCTTAATTCAACAAATGTTCAGTTTTTTACACATTTGAGCTAATTAAGTTATTGGACTGATATTTGTAGGATAGTGGAGATAGCCAACCGTGATAAAGTAAAAGTTGGAGGAGGTGAAGAGAATGAACACTCAGTCCAACACGTGCGGTCTGAACTTCCAATAGAGATTTTGGAAATAATCATTGGTCACTTGAACTTGATGGATAACATCCGCGCTTCTGCTGTTTGCAAGACATGGAATTCTGTTGCCCGCTTTGTCAGAGTTTCCAACAAACCTCCTTGGCTTATGTTCCTCCCAAAGTTTGGTGACTTGGTAGATTTCTACGACCCTTCATTGCGCAAGACCTACTCTGTTGAGTTACCTGAGTTGCGTTCCTCCAGGCTTTGTTACACCAAGGATGGATGGTTGCTACTCTACAAGCCTAGAACCCAACGCGTTCTTTTCTTCAATCCCTACTCTCGACAATTAATCAATTTACCCAAACTAGAATTGACGTACCAAATCGTTGCGTTCTCTGCTGCTCCTACTTCTCCCAAGTGCATTGTGTTTACTGTTAAGCATATCAGCCCGACTTTGGTTGCCATTAGCACTTGTTTCCCTGGAGCAACTGAGTGGACAACAGAGCATCACCAGAATCGCTTACCATTTGTGAGCAGTATATGGAATAAATTGGTTTTCTGCAATGGATTGTTCTATTGTCTGAGTCTGACAGGATGGTTGGGGGTTTATAATCCAGAGCAGCACTCATGGGTTGTTCGAGTTGTTCCTCCACCTAGATGCCCGGAGAATTTCTTTGTCAAGAATTGGTGGAAGGGGAAATTTATGGCAGAACATAATGGAGACATTTATGTCATATATACTTGCTCTAGTGCCAACCCAGTGATATACAAGTTAGACCAAGCTAATAGAGTCTGGGTGGGGGTGCAAACGCTGAGTGGGTTGACACTGTTTGCAAGTTTCTTGTCATCCCAAGCAAGGACAGATGTCCTTGGGTTGATGCGGAATAGCATTTACTTCTCTAAAGTTCGTTTCTATGGCCGGCGGTGCATATCCTACTCATTGGACCACGACAGATACTACCCCCGAAAACAGTGTTATGATTGGGGGGAACAAGATCCATTTGAAAGCATTTGGATTGAACCACCAGAGGACCTTTCAGCCTTTGTTTAGATGACTCGTGGGCCCAGGTAATACTACTGGTGATAGCTATATTCTGCAGTTTTCATGTTAATTTAATCAATGTACATTCTTTTTATTTATGTTTTCAAATGATTTTCTGCATCTGATAGTCATTTGCATGTCTTAGCATGTTTCTTGTAATTGCAGAGCAGCTTGTGTAATACAAATTATAATCATTATTTATACAATGCTCTATTTGTAAGTTCTATTCTCATGAGCCCATCGCTAATTTCCATTTTAGTTTTGTTAGAACTGATTGTCAATATGAATCAAGTAACAAGCCTTTTTTTAATTTGGCGTTTTTTTATTATTACTTTGATATTTCTTTTGCTTATTTTTATTTCTAACTTTATTAGGTCGCTTGGTTGACTCGCCTCTTTCAAATCTTCTTGAGCAACTTGTGTATTTATCTGTTATAGGTGGTGTACATGTAACTTATAGTCCCATGTAAATCGTAAGTAGTCATGTTTTATTACTCATGTTATAATAATTCTCTATTTCCGTGTGTGTAGCTGTTAGATTTCACGAGATATGACATTTATGTCTAGTTGGATTTGTTGGTTGAATTGAATGTATCATATTTATGTTTGCAATTCACATTCGATAAAATTAGTCCTTTTCTAAAACAAAATAATTTTTTCCAACATTAGCTTTGTGGATGATATTGTGGGATGGTGTACTTCAAATTAATGGAGTGCTTAGTACTTAAAATGCATTTGAAAGAGGTAAGGATGGTATAGGCTCAATAAGTTGCATATATTACTTATTATCAAATAAAATCCTTTATATTGAAATTTACTATTTATGCAGGTATATATATTTATGTGATTCTTGAAACCTATGAAGGTCCATAAAATCTATGTGCATTCTTCACCAACAATCTAGGACTCGAGGGGTCCTGCACTGACAAAATTAAACAAAAAAGAGACTGTTGAACAACTTCTTGTTAGTCTTGTATTATTTTCAAGATGAATGCTCTTGTTATCCATAAATCTGGTCCCAACTTGTTTATATGTTATCCCATCCTTTAAAATTTGTACTTTTTCGGTCATGTTTATGTTTAGTCACTTGATAATTTTACAAGTGATGTCTCACCTTAACTTATTTTGCGTTTTTGGCTTTTCAGTTAAATTTTAGATTTCTAACTGGAGAATAAGATTGAATATATGAAATACACCGTTAACTTTATGTGAACCCTCCAAGTCTTCAACGTCACTGAGAAATAATTAAATTTCCCCTTTTAATTTTTTGTACAAAATATCATGAACTCATGAACTATATATTCTTATATACTTCTTATTGTATGTCAATGTGTATACATAGACACATTTAATCATTTCCCGTGAAAAGTTCTCATTGCTAAATGACATGTTTATTTAGACAATTAAATAGAGTAATACGAGTAAATTTTGTTAAATAATTTTGATAAGTATATAATACTACCTCTGTCCTATGTTACGTGTCTCCTTTGGTTTTGGCACAATTTGTAATAAAATGGTTGAAAATGTAAAAGTTGTGGTTGAAATTTGAGTATAGTAAAGTGAAATGTTGTGAATCAAATAGGGATGGATTCGGTTCGGGTCACCCGACTTGGCCTGCTACTGTGCGGGCCCGGAACTGACACGGTCTGGTGGTTCGGGACCGGGACACCGGGTGTGAACTTGAACCGGCGGGAGAAGCGGAGTGGGCTCGGTTCATGGAAAATGTGACCCGGTCGGGTCAGGCCCGGGTCCGGGTCACAACAGCAACATTTATTGTTTTTTGGGCCAAATATGACAATCCAAACGGCTATATGGCCGTTGGGTGGGCTGCAGGGGGGGTCCGGGGGGTTTGGTGGGTGAGGCCAGGGTAAAAAAACCAATAAATACTCATAATCTTAAACATTTTTCATATCTCTCCTATTCATTCTAAATCCTATTCTCTACTCTTTAATTCTCTTATTCTCCAATATATTATATTTATTATTTATATATCTACTTTATATTAATTATATACTTATAATTTATAAATACATACAGTGATACATTATATTACTTATATGTCTTATCTAATTATATATTACTTATACATTTATTATATCTATTAATAGAGTTGAAATTATATCTAATTGATTTGAAGTCATTCTATTACTATAATAATTCCATCCGAAAGACCGAAAGTCCGAAAGAGGTACGGAATCATTCTATTATTTACACTTGTTTAATTTTGTATTAACATTACTTGAAAAAAAACTAGTTAATTCTCATTATAGTTAAAGTTAAACTATAATAATTTGATTGTTAGTAAAAAAAAATAGGTATTACAAAAATCTAGTTGATTAGTTAATTACTTAATTAGTTTTCACACGAATTGTTAATTTTTCATTAAAGTAGTTAATTACTTTATTACAATTTTTTATTAATTGTTACCTTTGACTCTAGTTTAAAAAACTAGTTAATTCTCATTATAGTTAAAGTTAAAGTATATTAATTTGATTGTTAGTAAAAAATAGGTTGTACACAAAACTAGTTAATTCACTAGTTAATTTGACTATTTATTAAACAACAGTATTGCTATAAATTTTGGTTCAATTCACATTTTTTACTTCACATTTCACTAGTAATTTGATTAAAGTAAAATTTAAAATAGTAATTTGCTATAACTCGAATTAATAGTTAGATTGAAGTATTATTTAAAATAGTTTTAATTACTCTTATTAATATATTTGTTGCAATTTAATATTTGTTACATTTTTTAGATGGATCATCCTAGATATTCGGTTGATATGGGTAACCTCGAGCGCAGCCGAACGAGAGAGCTTGCGAGGAAGAGATCCCGCAAAGGTAAATCACATATCGGCTCTTCATCTCAAAGTCGAGATGATTTTGATACGGGTTACGCAAGGAGGGATGAGGATGCGATGACCGACGAACAACTAGAACAAGAATTGCACCGACATAATAGCCGTATTTTTCAATACCAACTGAGGACCATTGACGCAAAAGAGCTCGAGGACGACGATGTGGAGGAAGTAATTCCGGAGAGCCACGACACCGACGAGCCTGCCTCATCCCAAATCGGTACGAAAAAAGTAAATCTGAACTAATGGCTAATAATTTTTCTAAGTGGAAGGACCCGAACACCGGGAATTGGACCGCAACTTGCAATTGGTGCAAGAAAAACTATAGCTTGGGGATTTTCGGCGGATACGGATCCGCTACAAGACATCTTAAGTCCAAACACCCGGTGGAGTATGCAAAATTAGGCGGCGGAACGGGGAAGCAAACTCAAATATCGAGGTTTGCAAATAACCAACAAGCTTTTGGTAATTTCTCATACAATGATGCGCAAAATTTGACTGGTATGACTAACTTACTTGTTGAAGAAAATTTTCCTTATTTGTTTTCTGAAAGTCTTGCTTTTCGTGATTATGAACAAACTTGTTTAAATCCACAATATAAAGGTTATAGTCGCAAAACGGTTAAGAAAGAAATTTCAAGGCTTTATGGTGCGGAGAAGGTAAGGTTACAAAATTATTTTGCAAACTTTGATGGACGTGTTACTGTATGTTCTGACATATGGGAGGATACTTATCATAATTTACATTATTTGGGTCTGACTGTACATTATATTGATAATGATTGGCATATGCATAAACGTGTTCTTGCTTTCCGTGAATTTAATGATCGTCACACCGCTGAACATATTTATATTTTGATTGAGCGTATTTTAACTGAGTATAATTTAATTGATAAGGTGTTTGCTATCGGTTTTGATAATGCTACTAATAATACTGCTGCTATTCCTAGATTGGGTGAATTGTGTGGTTCTACTTCTTTGATGGGTAGATTTTTTCATCAACGATGTGCATGTCATGTTCTAAATTTATGTGTGCAAGATGGTCTAAAAGCGTTGGGAGCATCTTTGGAGGTAGTCAAGGGGGGGATTAGACATATTTGAGGCAATGGACAATTTAGGAAAAAATGGCATGATTATTTGATAGAAAGAGGTGAGAAATATGTAGTCTTTCCTAAAGATTTGTCTATTCGTTGGAATAGTACCTATAAGTTAATTGGAGTTCTTAGATATATAAACAACATTTTCCTACTTTTATGAAATAATATGATAACTATATTATAAACTCGGCTGAGATCGACACCTGTGAAAAAATTTGTAATGCTTTGATATATTCTAATAATGCAACTGAAACTTTTAGTCATGTTTATAAATCTACATCAAACCAATTTATTCGTGAAGCTGTTAATCTCGTCGGTGCTTTTTCAAATTTTGAGAATGCTGATTATGTGAGTTATTTTGCTAGTTTTATGAAGAAAAAGTTTTTAAAATATTATTCACATATTCTGCATATTTATGGTATTGCATTTGTTCCTGATCCTCGTTTTAGACTTGGTTCTTTAAAAGAATCTTTGAATTATTATTATGCTGCTTTTTTTGGTTCATTGCCAATGTATGAGGACAACCCAATTGATCCGAAAAAAGAATACAGCGAGGTTAATGATATATTTTATGCATTATTTAATGAGTTTCATGCACAATATGGCAATGCGCCCCCTCCCCCGACACAAACATCATCTAAAGGAAAATCAATTTACAAATCTACATTTGCCAATCTTATTAAAAAAACAAAATCAACTCCCGCTACGCAACAAAGCACAATTAATGAGATTTCTTTGTATTTAACATATGATGTTGATTTCGAAGAAGATGATGATTTTGACGTACTAAACTGGTGGAAGGGAAAAGAAAGAATGTTCTCGGTTTTAGCAAAGATGGCTAAGCAAGTGCTATCACTGCCGGTTTCAACAGTTGCCGTGGAACAATAATTTAGTTCGGCCGGCAATGTCCTAACGCAATGTAGAACGAGGTTGAGCGCAGAATCTCTTGAGATGCTTATATGCTACCACGATTGGTTGAAAGCGGCCCGTAGAGCTCAAGAAATTGACATCACCCCATCCCAACACTTTATGGATGAATCTACAACCGAGGGTGACTCTACCTATGTCGGAGATTCCGATTGAATGATTGATTAGTATTTCATGTTTTAATTTTACCTTCAATTCTGAATTATAACTTGTAAACTTGTAGTTCATATTTCAAATAAATATACGTTCATTTTTTTATATGTAGCATTTTTTACTGAATTTATAAAATTAATTAATTAATTTTACATTATGTAATTTATTCAAATTAAAACATAAAAAAAAATTGAAATCAAAAGTCCCAAACGGCTATATAGCCACTTTGGTAGAATCAAATATTTCTTTAAAAAAAAGAAAGATGACATTTATTTTGAGATAACATGTAAAATGGAACGGAGGGAGTACAATGAAGTCATTATGATAATTGTGGTGTTATATCTGCAATCAACTGCTATCATTATGATGTCTCAATTTATATTAACGACTCCTTTATAGTACACTATTTTTCAAGGTAGATTTAGTCTTGAAAAATAATACTTCCTCCGTTTCTTTTTAGTTGCAACAGTCAACATTTCATGTTTGTCAACGCACAATTTTGACCGTCATTATATTTAATTCTGTCATGAACAAGGTTTTTCATTTCTGCCATAAAGTTGGCAGATTTAACTTGGAAACTTAACACAAAACAGTCCTACATTTGACAAAAATATGAAAGCATTAAACAAATATTCAAAAAAATAGTGAAATAAGCACTTCAATACAATCAACAACATTCAAGCCTTAGTCCCAAAAGATATTGGAGTCGGTTAACATGAATCGATACATGATATCACCACCATAAAGAAGTGATATTCATATTTCGATTCATGTCATGTGATGTGACTAGGTGATACTGTTGGCAGTCACACGCCTAGCACATCACCCTCCTCCTTTATCCTGGCTTGGGACATGCATGAAGTGGCGGAGTTCACTTCAATAAAATCGAAATATAAAAATACGAAGCTAATGACAACAAAATCAGAGTAGTCAACCTCGTTTGGGTGAGGCACTGTTGGTCCCTTGTTGTTTTAAATGACAGGGAACTGGCCTTTGTCTGATTTACAGCCATGGATTTTCAAATGTCCACGTTGTGTTCCGCATGTTGCATGCTTGCACAGTAATGGATTTTCAGGGGTCCATTACCGAAGAGTTTATCAGTAGCAGTGATTGCCAACTGTTGGCGCTTTCGGCTGCCATTTTGGAGCTTTAAGCTGTGCCCTTTTGTTGTAGCC